CCTCCCCCGCGCCCTCCCTGCCGCCCCGCGGGCTCCTAATCGCTGTGCTTATCTCTAGGCCTCCCGCCGGCCATGCAGAAAGTTATGTTCAAGGGACTTCTGCCAGAGGAGAAAACGTTGCGGGAAATCAAAGTAACGAACGGAGCAAAAATAATGGTTGTGGGCTCTACCATCAACGATGTGTTAGCAGTAAATACACCCAAAGAAGCTGCTCAACAGGAGGTCAAAGCTGAGGAAAACAAAAAGGAGCCACTTTGCAGACAAAAGGTTAGTATTAGTGTCTCAATAATTGCTGATGTGGGAGAGCTGTATGTGTTTTTTCTGCAGGCAACTCTGGGTCCTGTTCCTCCTCAGAGCACGCTGGGGGTTCATTTCTAACAGCTCAGCGCTGGAAGGGCTCTGGGCAGGGGAGTTCAGCAGCAGGGAAGTGTTTAGCCCAGCAGGGAATGGGGCTTTGCAAGACACTGCTCATGGTGCCAGGCACAGCCCAACATTTCAGACAAAAAATGGCAAATAACAGAAATATTTGATGGTTGTTAGTGCAAACACAGTCCAGATTAATTCAGTCTAAAATCTAACTAATTTTTATTGGCATAAAAGAATTTGATCTCCAGAAACTGCTTAAGGTGAACACCAAGAGAGCAGCTCCTGCAGCTGTCCCAGCACTGAAGGGGATGTGGGTGCTGAATTCTCCTTTCCTATCTTGGAGCACAGCTCAGTAGGCTGGTTTGGTGGTGGGGCTAGTAAAGGATTTCCAGCTCAAGGTATTATCAGCCTTATACCTTCCTCAGAACAAATTTAGTTAAAATTAAGTAGTGCACCCTTGAACTGCAGTCTCTATGAAACATGCTGTTGGTGTTCTGTGGTTTATCATTTATCATCTATCATTTATCATTTATCATCTGAGTCCCATTGTTGCTTAAAGGGACCCAGCCAGGTACAAGCTGTGGCTGTGTATTTATTAGTTATGTTGCTCTAATCCATTCTAGTTTGGTGCTGGGTTGCACTGGCAGACATGGAGGGTTTCTGCCATTCACTGGATGTAGCACTTGCCTGTTAAAACTATCAAAATACCAAATGCCAGCTCTGTGGTTTGGTGTGTACGAGGTGAGAGTGGGACTCAGGATTACTGCATTTTTTTATAGAGATATATTTATGTGTCTGTATATTCTAGAACAGTTGTTACCCTTGGCATTATGCGGGGGCTCTTTTCATTTTTGTAATTTCTTTAAGACTGTCTTAGAAAGTGCTCAGTTAAGTTTGAAAATAACTGGTGCCCATGTGATAGATGCCTGTGGACAGCCCTCAGCTGTCTCTTGGTGCTCTCAGGATGTGGTCAGAGGAGCAGCTGCAAGTACATCACAAAGCTCTGTTGTGTTTCTGTGAATTTAATTTCTGTTTTTATATTGTAGCAACACAGAAAAGTATTGGATAAAGGAAAACCTGATGATGTGATGCCTTCTGTCAAAGGCGTGCAGGTGCGTGAACATGGGCTCGAGACGCTCAGAGTGAGAGAAGAGACTTTTTCGTGGTTTGAGACCTTTCTCTGCTGGTTGAATTGGTTTTTTGCTGTCTTAGCAGAAAGCTGGAAAGATGGATGGTCCTTATGCTTAAAACATTGAGAGAATGTAGCTTGTCTGTGCCAGTCCCTCAGCATGACTGCCTGTGTCCCTTTGCAGGAGCGCCTGCCGACGGTGCCGCTGTCCGGCATGTACAACAAGTCAGGGGGGAAAGTCAGATTGACCTTTAAACTCGAGCAAGACCAGCTGTGGATTGGTACAAAAGGTGAGCACCTCTCAACCTTGGGGGTGAACAGTTGGTAATTGGGCTGTGACTGAATTGTGTGACCTAGAAAAGCCTCTGCTGTGACTGAATCGTGTTTAGGGAATGACGGTGGTATTGCAGCGCTTCAAAATGAAACTTTGATTCCTCTTCTGGCATCCCATTCTCCCAGATCATTGAGTAGTACTTGATATTCCACTTCTCTTCCTGAAAAACTGGAGTTCAGTGGTGCCAGCAGACTAATGGTCCAATGTGCTATTCCTGGCTCCAAATGTAAATGGTGATATTTGGCATTTCTGGCATGTCTCAAAAGTACTCCATAAACATGGTCTTGATGCCAAGAGCACACAGAGGCTCAATGGCTTGGCCAAGACTCAGAAGGGAATCTCAGAACTGGGATTAAAACCAGGAGTGCTGGCATCTGTGGCACTCTCTGTCCTTCCAGCCAGAATTGCTCAGGTGTCTTGTCCCAGTGAGGCACAACTGTGGTGCTGTGCAGAGGGTCAGTTTGCAGTCATGAGTGGTGCTGGGAAGAGCTGGGATTGACGTGGGGATAACGTGCCTTGCTGAGGATGTCTGTGTCCTGGTTTGGGCTGGGATATAGTGAGTTTTCTTCCCAGTAGCTGGCTTGGATTCAGGGTGGGAATAATGCTGATAAGAATTGATGTTTTGGTTGTTGCTGCACAGTCAAGGACTGTTTGGTGTCTCAGGCTCTGTCCAAGGAGCTGGGAGGGAGCAGGGCCAGGGCAGCTGGCCAGAGGAATATCCCATACCACAGAGCATCGTGTCCAGTATGAACTGGGGGGAGTTGGCTGTGAGGGGCTGGTCACTGCTGAGGGACAGGCTGGGCATTGGTCAGTGGGTGGGGAGCTGCTATGCTGGACATCACTGGTTTCTCTTGGGTTTCATTTTTATTTTATTGCCATTATTATGATCAGTAGTAGTAGTATTTTTTACTTTGTTTCAGTTATTAAACTATTCTTACCTGAACTTGTGAGGTTTTTTACTTTTTTCCCCAGTTCTCCTCCCCATCCCAGCAGGGCAGGGGGGTGAGTGGCTGCATGGTCCTCAGTTGCCACCTGAGGCTAAATGGGACTCTGGGATACCCCCTGCCTCTCAAGGAAGCTGTGCTCCTTCAGTTTGACCAGGATGGCCAATATATAGTGATGAGCAAGAGGAATAAAAGTGCTTGCTCACTGTCCCAGCAAAGTAGCCTAATTGGATGGTAATATTACCTCCAGCTGGTACAGTATTTCCAAAGTAAGCAGAAATCCTGGAAGTTTTTGACCTTTCCTTTGTAGGACAGACTTGACTGTGAAGATCTTTCTGGCTCTAAAACCTCTCTTGGTCTCAGTTGCAGTCATTTCTCTCCTGGGCAAAGTGATGGAATGAGGTATTGGGGTGTGTTTTTTGCTCTCTAGGTTGGGGAGGCAGATGTTTCTGTTACTGATCCTGTGTTCTAAATCCATTCTTAGTGTTTAGGTGATTAATGTCTTCCTTCACCTTCCAGATGAGTTTCAAGTGTAGTGTTTCTGTGGCATTCTAGATTAGTGTTCCTTAAGCTTTGAAATTTGATTCTTCTTGTAGTCATCCATCTTTCCCATAACCTGTTTCCCTACTTCCCCAAATTAGCAGCAGATTACTTCCTCTAGGGAATGGCTGTAATTGCTGGCTGGTTTTGGGAAAACCTCCTTCCTGCTCTGAGAAATGCATGGCAGAGGCTAGCAGGTACAGGCTGAAGGAAACCCACCTGGGTGTCCACACAGCTCCTCACTTGCTGGTGTTGGAAAGCTGGAGCTGGTTCTTCCCCCTGCAGCCTCCCTGGGCCTCACAGGTGTTTGTAGCACGAAGTTTGCCCCGTGGCTCTGGTCAGTTCTGCAGAGGCATTGATAATGTGGATTTTGTCTGTTGATGGGATACTCTGAGCAGGAATTGATTTGGGGGATCCTGAACAAGGGCAAAGTGAGTTTTTACCTCATGAATGAACTCATGAGTCTAAGTAGGCTTAGTTACAGCACTGAGGCAGAGAGAGTTTGTCCTTACATCACTGAGTTTATCTCCCTATGTGCCTTTTTTGAGTAGGTGCTTTTTTATTGATTACACAAATCAATTAGGTCTATCTCAGGAACTCAGAGTTTGGTTTGTCCTTTGTAGAGTGTTTTGGGTGTTCTCTGTCTTGTATCTAAGTAGATAATTTTAGGCTGATGCTGAACACTGGAACTGAAAGGCAGGATCTTGAAATTAAGTGTTCAGAAAAGTGAGGACGGAGCTGACAGGAAAACTCTGCCCTGGACCATGTACTTAGTTGCTCTTGTTGGTGCCTGTGGCTGGTTGATGTTACTCTGCTATATAATTGTAGCCTTTTTTGTTTTTTTTTTCTATTTGTTTCTGTCCCTATTTGCTCTTTTACATCCCTTTGCCAGTGCTTCTCTGAACACTGCCTCAGGGGAAAGCCAGGCCTAGGCTTTCAGAGTTAGGTCAGCCTTTCTTCACCAGCTTTCAGCCCTGCTGTTTATCTGTAGAGTTCAATATAATCCTTGGTAGTTGGTTCTGAATATTCTCAGACCCAGACTAGATTCCACTGAGATGAGCTATTCTGCTGTTCTGAGGGGATTTGTTCCTTATGGGAAAACATTAAACAAAGCCAGGGTTTTCCCCTCACTCAGTCTAGGCCCAAATCAGGAACACTGAAGTGCTTCTTGTGGTGCAGAGGAACTGTGTTTTGGGTTCTCTCACGTTGTTGGGGTGCCAGCTGGGGGGGTTGGTGCTGCCAGGTCCAGGTACCCAAACTCACCTGAGAGGGGACTGCTGACCTGAGGGGGTTTTGGTATCAAGGGAGGTGACACCTGAAAGTGATATGAAGTATTGCTTCCCCACACATCAGAAATAATACTCTGATCAATTTTAATGTAGAGAGAACAGAAAAATTACCCATGGGGTCCATTAAAAATGTGGTGAGTGAACCTATTGAAGGCCATGAGGATTATCACATGATGGTGAGTAACAGCTCTACTTTAATTATATCCATCTAATTCCTTCATGCAGAACACACCAGGGAGGCTGTAGATTGGAGCAGGTTGGAAGTGGATGGTGGTTCCAGCCTCATGGGGATGGGGATGTGAACTGCTGTCACAGTGTCAATATTTTGAGTCCATATTGAGTATCTGCTGCTGTTTGGAAGTCTGGGCTGGTTTCACACGAATATGAAGTGTTTAAGCATTATTTTGTATCTTCTGACTGTGACAGTGTTAAACCAGTAAAAATACTTACACATAGCTCGTGATTTCTACCATATTTTTCAATACCTGATTTGATTTCTGGTGTCTGTGGTATTTATATAAACAACAGGCCTTGCTGCAGATTAAAAGAAAAAGGGACTTGATGCTGCAATATTTTTTCACAACTGTAATTTTTTGAACAACTGGCATTGGATCTAGCAAAGAAACATTTCAGAAGAGAGCTGTGCTAATGTACTGAATTGTTTTCTGTTTCTTTCAATCTATGGTTTTTTTCAAAGTACAGTAACTAACTTCTAATGTTAAAGTACGTTTATTTTCTGTAAGAAGTCTGTTTCCTCCTTTAGGGGGAGAAAAGAAAAATGTTTTACCTTAGAATCATTGCCTGCAGAAGGGTAGTGCTGTAGTCTCTGTCCAAATACTTAATTTTTGTTCATTCATGGGAGAAAATGTCCTCTTCAGCACATGTTGCAATAAATTTATCCCACAGCAAGGACAGAGGTTCTGGCACGCCGTGGTGCTCCTCTCCTGGGCATAGGAGAGAAGTTGAGTATAGGACATTATATCTAAATATAAAATCCTATGAAATGTTATGACTATAAAAACACAGTCATTGTCTTGTTTAGTTCCTGTTTTGGCTTCTCAGCTCTGTCATCTCTTTAGAGACTCTGAGTTATTCTTCAGATTGTGTTCCAGAATAGTTTCCTCATGTTCTTGAAACTGGCCGTGAGTTTTGGTTGCTGCTGTGATGTTGTAAAAGGGAAGAGGTCATTGTTTTATTGGTGCTGTGCAGCTCTTGTTTTTCTGGACTGCTCCTTTAATTGCCCACCCAAGAGCTGTAGTGTGGGACAGACCGGGCTGGTTTGGCAGTGGACGAGCTGTGCCTGTCCCCTGGGCCAGCAGTTTGTTCCCATGTGTAAATGTTGTCATTTTTAATTGCAGGCATTTCAGCTGGGCCCAACAGAAGCATCTTACTACTGGGTCTATTGGGTCCCCACTCAGTATGTCGATGCAATCAAAGACACGGTGCTTGGGAAGTGGCAGTATTTTTGAAAGCACGCTCACCTCTGGCACAGGAAAATGACACAAAGCTAAGGACACTGCTGGGAGAGGCCTCCAACATCCCTGGATGTGACAGTCCTGGAACTTATTGATAAAACATGCTAAACGAGGCACGGATGGAAGCCAGAGGTGATGTTCTTTCACCATTAGTTTACTTTTAACTTAAAGATTTCACCATCCCTTTTCTGCAGTCAGCTTCAACCATATTTAAAGCAAATACAATGGAAATCAATAAATCTTAATTCACAAAATATTGTGTGTAATACACTTAAATATGCTGAGAGTTGATCTTCCAGTTTAGTTTTAAAAAGAGAAGATTACGATGTATTATTGAGGATTTTTTACATGGTTTGAACAAAAACAAATATTTTCATAATCTTTCAGTTATCAACATTAGACTTAATTTAGTTACTTGGCTGTGACTGAGGATTTCAGGAGCAGCTTTTTAAGAACAAACTGTAGCCGTGTGCAGCGTCGCTGTTGGGTGAAGCCATATCCCACCGCCCCTCCAGGGCAGCTTCCACTCTTTGGTAGCAGAACTAATTCTTTGTTTTAACCCAAAGATGCTTGTTTGGGACTTTTCCTTGCCTTTTCCCGACACTGACATCTCTGGGTTGGTCTCTGTAGCCTGTCTGGAGCAGATGAATTCCCTGGGGATGTTTTGTGGCAGGTGACCCAGTGCTGCCTGCTGTCCCCTCTCGTGCCTGGTCAGTGGTTCACCTCCTGCCCTGGGCTGCTACAGCTGGGGAGCATTTTCTTGCATGTTGCAGTCCAGAGTCATTTTGCAGCTGCTGCATTGACACTGACCCGTTGGACTGGAAACACCTTTGTGCTGCCTGGTGTGAGCAGGGGGACACAGTGACATGGATGGAAACACCGTAACACTGTCTGGCTGAGTGGGGTGACACAGTGACACCGACCTCCCAAAGGGAGGGGACCACAGAGTCCTTCCTGCCCTTTTTCAGGTGGGAGGAGCGGGGAAGAGAGAAGCTCAGATGCTGTTTTGGATCCTTAATAACTGCAGCAGTCTTTTGTGACCTGGATTTGAAAATTTATAATGATTTTTGAATTCATTGAATTGTACCAAATTTAGATTATCTATCCAGCAACCGATGTTTTGAAATGTAAATCACCTTCCAGCTTTTCTCCTACTCCAGTTCACAGGAGACTCTCACACCTCATCCTGTCTGAACTAACGTGCCGGGCTCGGCGTGTCATCCCAGCCATCCACGTGCCATTCCTCTCAGGTGTTGTGGACAGAGCCCTCAGCCCTGGACAGGTGCATGCCCGTAGCAGGTGCCATTGTGCAGCCAGACTGGAGCAGCTCACACATCCCTACTCTGTTAGTGCTGGGGCACTGACATGGCACACGGCTGCTCCATGCCCGTAGCTCCAACTCATGGAGAAACAGCCTTTTAGGAACAGCTGAGTTTAATATACTCCATGTGCACTTTTCCCTCTCCTTGAAAAAACCCAGCTGAAACTCAGCAGGTGCAAATTCCCAAATGAGTATTTATTTTATTTTTATTTTACTCGGGAGACTGGGAAAAGCATTGGCTTTCTGGTAGATGTTAAGGTCATATATTTCCCTGTAGCCTCTTGATAGCCTTTGGGTTGTATTTTCTGTCAGAACAGCCACGCAATATGAATTTTAAAGGTATTTCATATCCTACGTAGAAACTAGTGATGTGCTTGTTACTCTTGTAGCTTGAGGTATTTCCTTTCTGTGTCCAAGCCAGCAGCAGTGTGTCCTGACACGAGGGGCTCGGGGCAGAGGAGCCGTGTCAGCTCCCTGGGCTGTTCGTGGAGCGGCGAGGGCGGAGGGAGCTGTCCCGAGTTAACTGGTGACAACGTTGTGGAAGAGACGCAGCCACACACGTGTGATTCTCTGGTTGCCAGTCCTGGTGTTAAGGCTTAAATTTACAATTCGTTACCCAGTGGAAAGTGTGGGTGCTGCAGAATAAAGAAAAGGGGTAACACTGGCTCTTTCTGTCACCTGAGGTCACCTTGGCACCACCTTCCTGGTTGGGTGATGATCAGCTCCCACTTGCTCCTTGACTTGCTCGGACCTGTCTGTGCATCCGTTCATGTTCCGTTTCCTTTCCTGTCCCTTCGTCCCCCTGCTCCTGGAGAGGGCACGTGCCCGAGTTCAGCTCCTCCCCAGCTCCTGTGCAGGACGCAGCGACCAGGTGAGTAACTGTGGGGCGAGTGCCAAGGGGGGCAGGTACTGCCCTGCTGCCGAGGCACCAGGGCACAGGGCAGCTTGTCACATTCCTGCTGCTCCCTGCCCAGGGGCACAGTTACTCTTCGTCCTGGGCCAGGCACAACCCAGCAGCTCAAAGGAAACTGAACACAAACCCCTTGGTTACATACAAAGCAGTTTTAAACACAAAGAAAATACTATAAACTAAGACAATGTGATCCTGTTTAGGTGCTTCCTTTCAGGTTGGATTTGATTGGAAAAATGAAATGGTTTCACTTTTTTGTTCTATGTGCAAAGTTTGAATTAAAACACAGGAAAGTGACTTATAAAATGCTTTAGTTGGTGTTTGTTGGCTCAATATCCCAGGCTTCATGCGCGTTCTTTGAGATGAATATTCCAGCTGAACTTAGCAGCACCGGTTTTAAGATCCTTTCTCTTTGGGAATGATGTGGAGCTTTGTGTGTTCTGGCTTACACCAATTTTTCCAAGGCAGTTACTGACATTAAGAAAGACCCTCTCTTTAGTGGGATAGTGCCACGGTTGCCTCACAGCTGTTGCCAGCCTGTCTTGGCTTAGGATTTTACTCTCTGGTCACTGTGACCATCCCAGGGCAGACTCAGTAACCAATGGTCCTGGCAAGGAGTTTGGTGGTTGGTCCTCAGTGAGGCACAGCTTGTGAGTAAAGTGCGAGTACACTCAGTATTTGGAGTTGGTGGTAAAGATGGTTCTTAGATCTGTAATCTTCTGTAGGAAGTTAATGGTAACAGCTGCACAAAAGTGTGTTTTGGTTAAATTACAATCTAACAAGGTGCTTTCAATAGCAACTGGTTCTTGCTGTGTGTAGATGTGATTCCCTGGGAGCATCCTGGGGTGCAACTCCGTATGAGGTTACACTAAGTGCTTTCTGGGGTTTGCTACTTGCAGATTAAAGCATCCAAGGGGCAAATGTGGGTTTCTGTAGGACACAGCCGGTGTTTGCTGGTGGCTCCCAGTGCCTGGGCAGTCCCCTGTGCCATCTGTGGGGATCCCTCCCATGTCAGTCTCCAAGCTTCCTACCCTGTTCTGTGACCCTGAGCGTCACAGCTCACCTGTGTGCCATCCCTTTATCTTCTCTGTGCCCAATGCTATGGGTTTCTCTTCCTCTCCTTGTCTCAAGTTCAGTATTCCTTCTCCATTTCTGCATCCCAAGTGTAGGCAGTCTTGAGATCAGTATTGTGTTGGGAGTGCAGGAGTGTGTTGCTTAGCCTGGCTGGGTTTGAACAGAAACTGTGTTTTGCATGAAAAGCTTGTGTTACATGGCTTCATACTGAAGTATGGTCGATGGTTAATTTCCATTAATGACACTGATGAGGAAGGTGTAACTACAGTCAGGATGTTTTGGTGATGGGAGAGAGTGATCTGGACTCAAATGAGATAAGACACTGTCACCAGCCCGGTGCTGTGCCCGTGACACACACACACCTGCCCAGCCTGTACCTCCCAGCCGGTGTGTGCTGCTCCTCCGTGCTCTAAAGGGCCAATTCCCTGCTGTGCCACTGCCCAGGTGCCACGTTGGGGTCCACTCTGCACCCCCTGCCCGACAGCCATGGCCCCTGACCCCACCAGTGCTGCTGGCACGGGCACAGCACTCCCTGCTCCCGTCCTTGCTGTGCCCACACCACAGGGCTTGTTTCCAGACTTTCCTTCCTTTGTTTACTTCTCTTCCTCTATAACTTGGTTTTTCCAGTGGAGCTGTTTTCACTCTCAGTTCTGTACTCCAGCCTCTCTCCACCTGTTAGGATGAGGCTGTTGGCATCTTGTTTTGTTAATTAATGTCCTCGTCACTGGGGGGAGGAGGGGACCAGGAGAGCTGTAATAAGTCTTGTATGAAATATGGCCATTTTACCTTCTAGCCAAGGATTCGCCTTTGTGGCTCATGGAAGTTCACTCTGTCTTATTCATACTCAAAGCAATTCATTCTTTGGTTTTATATTAAAAAAAAAGTCTTAGATATTTGTGTCCACTGCAGATTTATTTTAAATGGAATATGTGAGTACCATGTATTATGGTATTTTTAAATAATCTATTGCCTATTTTGGGGGGAGGGGGGAGATGACAAATATTTAGTCTTAGATTTGCACTGCTGGATTTTTTAAGTGTAACCTTGACTGGTTATCCTGGTGTTTTATTCTGTAAGATTAGTCTTATGAATTAAAGTTTGATAATTAAGTATTTTTTTGTTTGAGTGATTCAGTATTCTGTATGTACTGAGCTGCTTCCTCCTGCATGAACAGCTGCGAGCAAAGGGTTTGTAGTGAGTTTCTTTGCAGGAAGATGGACACAGGCAGAAATTCAGGGGATCCAATGCCAGGTGTCACATTGGAGCTGCAGGTGCCGGTCACCCAGGGTGGGGATTTAGGTACTGCTGCCCTGTGCCACCCCACACACGTGGGCTGTGAGTTACAGGATGGTCCCTCTCCACCCCCTGCCGAAAGCCAGACTTTAATTTCCTTTTACACCAAAATTGTCCTGGTCCTGCTGGGCTGGCCCAGCCCTGGTCCTGCTGGGCTGGCCCAGCCCTGGTCCTGCTGGTCTGGCCCAGCCCTGGTCCTGCTGGGCTGGCCCAGCCCTGGTCCTGCTGGGCTGGCCCAGCCCTGGTCCTGCTGGGCTGGCCCAGCCCTGGTCCTGCTGGGCTGGCCCAGCCCTGGTCGCGGTGTCACAGTCCCGTTTAACAGCCCCCAAAGGTGCTCTGGGGCAGCCCCTGTGCTGGGCTTTCTGCGGCCGCACCTCTGTCGCTGAATGGGCGCTGCTCGGCTTGCCTCCGGCTTTAGGCACTTCCTCTCCCCCCACCCAAAAAAACCCCCAGCGCTGACAGTTCAAGAGAGGGATCACAGAAATAAACTCCCAAACCTGCTCTGTCGTTCTCCCAGCGTGCCAGGGGGCACGTCCCGCTCGGTTTAGTGTCCAGGGTTCAATACTGAGTTCACGGGGGGGTATCCCAGCGCTCCCCCGCTGTCCCTCGGGCAGAGCTCCCGGCACCGGGGCTGGGCTGAAGCGGCTCTGAGTGTG